GCCCTGGATGGATTTTCATTTTGGCCCTCTCGGGGAAAATGTTTGGGCACCCCTGTTCTAAAGTTTTACTCATCAGGACAATAACTGTGTTTAACCAGATTATAAAATTATTCACATCTAACCTTAAAAGCACAAAACCGCCCAGCATTATTTATCATCTCATTTCTGAAACAAGAACAAACTCCTCCCACAAGAAACTCACACTTCAGCTGGATTTATGCTTCAATATGACGTGGGACAGCGGATCATTTGTGTAATTTTGTCATGAAGTTCTGACCAATCACGCGTTGTGAGCCGCAAGGTCCGTATAGCAATGCACACGATGGCTGTCACCAGGGGATAGCAGCAGGAGAGCAGACGGAAGACACACTTTTTTTGTCACTCAGCAGGAGGAACAAAACGTACTACTTGAAGTATAAACCAGCCTGTTGTGACTGAGAACTCCTTCTACATACAGAACTTCTTATGTAGTTCACAATGTCCACATGCAGCTCAAGTCTATTAGGACAACTGTCATACTTAATTAGATAAAAGTAATTATGTAATAAATACCAATAATTATAATAATAAAGTAGGTATGTAAAGTAAATTTAACATTTCAAAGTGCTTGGGTCGATGTCTGTCACAGAAGTTTCAAACATGACTAATAAATCCATGGCAGCAATACAAGGTGGGCACATAAAACTGTAAGAGGGGTACTGCTGAGACCACCTACAACACATGTCAAACTCAAGGTCACTCCCGTGTGCCCCCCCCCCCACCATTTTTTTAACTTAACCTGAAAAGTGTTTCTTATATCAATGCTAAACTTTAAATTTATGATTAAATGCAACAAAATCTATTTAAAAGGTGAAAGATTATTGCCCCTGAGCTGTTGGCTTTAAGTAACGAAGCATTTTAGTTGGATAGCACAGTATTAATGTCTGAAAATAAGCTGCTTTAAAGTCACCATCAACCATAAATTAATCTGCCATAATGCATACTAGCTACTCACTAGAAACTCATCAGTGAATAAACTTTATTAGTTTTACTTTTAGTAATATTTCTGTATTTATTTCAGATTTAGTCAGTCATACACTTAGTTCTTATCAGTGTTTAAAAGACGACGTGTTAAAACTGTTTAGTCACACTTAAACATGAAACATCAAAGTTCATTACAAGTGGCTCTTTGAGGACCACCATAACGCTCATGTGGCCCTCGGTGAAAAAGAGTTTGACAAACCTGACCTACAGTTTTCAGTTGAAGAATGAGTTAAACACAAAGTGACTGACCTTGTTGAGCTCCCTGGTGATTCGGCCCATGTTGTACTGATCTCGTCGATGTTTGAAGCGCAGCGCATCCATTGCCAGGATCTGTCTGTTCAGTCGAGCCCACTCATCTCTACAAAGGTCAGAAGGGGTCAGATCATCTGATCCAACAGACCAGAGATCAGATTTTACACAAATATTATTCACACCTTTCAAGGAGGTCGTCATAGGGGCCCGCCCACTCAAACCTGTCACTATAACCAGAGTACTGACTGAACGTCTGACAGCCTGAGACAAAACATCCAAAACAAGCATGAAGCATAAAGTGTTCATTACTTAATAAATAACAGGTCTACAAAAACCCTTTCCTATTTTAAACCTGTGATGATGAGACATTCGTTGTCTGCCAGTTTCTCAGTGAAAAGTCGAGCCACGATCAGTTCTGGATTCATGAGGAACAGGATCTCCTCCTGGATCAGACCAGAGTCCAGAACACCTCCACCAATCCAGCTGGAGGCAAAGTCTACCTGCAAACAAACACACAATCCATTTTCAGCTGTGAGTGAGTCTGTGAGTGAGTCTGTGAGTCTGTGAGTCTGTGAGTGAGTCTGAGTGAGTCTGTGACTGAGTCTGCGAGTGAGTCTGTGAGTGAGTCTGAGTGAGTCTGTGAGTGACTCTGTGAGTCTGTGAGTGAGTCTGTGAGTGAGTCTGAGTGAGTCTGTGAGTGAGTCTGAGTGAGTCTGTGAGTGACTCTGAGTGAGTCTGTGAGTGACGCTGTGAGTCTGTGAGTGAGTCTGTGAGTGAGTCTGTGAGTGAGTCTGTGAGTGAGTCTGAGTGAGTCTGTGAGTGAGTCTGAGTGAGTCTGTGAGTGACTCTGTGAGTCTGTGAGTGAGTCTGCGAATGAGTCTGTGAGTGACTCTGTGAGTGACTCTGTGAGTGAGTCTGAGTGAGTCTGTGAGTGAGTCTGAGTGAGTCTGTGAGTGACTCTGAGTGAGTCTGAGTGAGTCTGTGAGTGAGTCTGAGTGAGTCTGTGAGTGAGTCTGAGTGAGTCTGTGAGTGAGTCTGAGTGAGTCTGTGAGTGAGTCTGTGAATGAGTCTGTAAGTGAGTCTGTGAGAGAGTCTGTGAGTGACTCTGTGAGTCTGTGAGTGAGTCTGTGAGTGACTGTGAGTCTGTGAGTGACTCTGTGAGTCTGTGAGTGAGTCTGTGAGTGACTGTGAGTCTGTGAGTGACTCTGTGAGTCTGTGAGTGACTCTGTGAGTCTGTGAGTGACTCTGTGAGTCTGTGAGTGGGTCTGTGAGTGAGTCTGTGAGTCAGTCTGTGAGTGACTGAGTGAGTCTGTGGGTGGGTCTGAGTGAGTCTGTGAGTGACTGAGTGAGTCTGTGGGTGGGTCTGTGAGTGAGTCTGTGAGTGACTGAGTGAGTCTGTGAGTGGGTCTGTGAGTGAGTCTGTGAGTGACTGAGTGAGTCTGTGAGAGGGTCTGTGAGTGAGTCTGTGAGTGACTGAGTGACTCTGAGAGTGAGTCTGTGAGTGACTGAGTGAGTCTGTGGGTGGGTCTGTGAGTGAGTCTGTGAGTGACTGAGTGAGTCTGTGAACGAGTCTGTGAGTGACTCTGTGAGTCTGTGAGTGACTCTGAGTGGGTCTGTGAGTGGGTCTATGAGTGAGTATGTGAGTGAGTCTATGAGTGAGTCTGTGAGTGGGTCTATGAGTGAGTCTGTGAGTGAGTCTGTGAATGAGTCTGTAAGTGAGTCTGAGTCTGTGAGTATGTGAGTGAGTCTGTGTGAGTGACTCTGTGAGTCTGTGAGTGAGTCTGTGAGTGAGTCTGTGAGTGACTGAGTGTGTCTGTGAGTGAGTCTGTGAGTGACTCTGTGAGTCTGTGAGTGACTCTGTGAGTGACTCTGTGAGTCTGTGAGTGACTCTGTGAGTCTGTGAGTGACTCTGTGAGTGACTCTGTGAGTCTGTGAGTGACTCTGTGAGTCTGTGAGTGACTCTGTGAGTGACTCTGTGAGTGGGTCTGTGAGTGGGTCTATGAGTGAGTCTGTGAGTGGGTCTATGAGTGAGTCTGTGAGTGGGTCTATGAGCGAGTCTGTGAGTGAGTCTGTGAGTGGGTCTGTGAGTGAGTCTGTGAGTGGGTCTATGAGTGAGTCTGTGAGTGGGTCTATGAGCGAGTCTGTGAGTGAGTCTGT